TAAGAATGGATGACTTATATCTGCAATAAAACTCTATGAATGAATGCAGTCCTGCAACATGCTTAATGGGATTCAACCTTCACCATGACTTCTATCAAGTATAGAACGTGACTATTGAAAGTCCCACTCATCGTCACGACAGAAGGCTGTCCATATCATTTACAACAAGATTACATGGATCCATGACTAATCAAACAAGCGGTCTTCGTTAAGACATATCATCGAACATATAATGTGCTTGTCAAAGATAATATAACAATATCAGAAAATTAAATGCTTAACACCCACAAACCCAATTCATATCACTAATCAGACAAGGGGTGATATTTTCCCGAACATGATACAACAATATCATTCATTATCAATGTAACCATCGATATTCATCACCTCACACACACACACATCCAAACATCATCCTTAACCATCGATTATAAATGACGAATGGACAACAAAATGAAGAACACGAAAATACATATGGATTAATTATTCACCTTCATCTTTGGGTGCGAACAATTGATTGTGTGTGTGTATGTCTGTGCAGGTTCTTCGTTATCTTAGGTTTAAATGCGTGAGATAAATCCATACACAATTTATGAATAATTGGTGTTTTAATTAAAAAATGAAATTATGTTTAGGGTGAATGTTAAGAAATCAATATTTGAAGACCTTTGTTGTAAATTCAGTACAAGTTTTTTTTCATTAAGGGTATTTCAGTACTTACCCAAATCCCTAAGGACACTTGTCATTTTAGGCCTCTCGATCTCGAAGGCGGCGGTGGATGGATGACGGGGGAATCCGCCGGCGGCCGTGAGCGATCTCTTAGTGGCGGCTCTCTCCCGCTTGTGTGCGTTCTGGTGGTCGCCGATGGGGTGAGATCCCGCTTTAGCATGAAAAAATCGTCTATGCTTGGACTGGGATTTGCGTTGTCGGGAGCTCTTTTTATTATTATCTTGGATCATTTTGAAAATTTAATGTTAAATGAAGGGTACAAAAGTAATTTTAAACTAAAATATATAATATCCAATTGTAAACCAAACATGTTAGTGGGCTAACTAAATAGGTGGAAAGCCTTTGAAACAATCAAAAAGATTATATCAAGCCCAATCCATTATTTGTAGCTGGTAAGGCTCTCTATATCATGAATCCGCTCACCTGCTCACGGTGGGCAGTGCCCACCACTTTTTTTTTACATGAAAAACGTATTCTGAGAATACGTTTTTCAATTAATTTAATTGAAAAACGTATTCTCAGAATACGTTTTTCATGTAAAAAAAAAGTGGTGGGCACTGCCCACCGTGGGCAGGTGAGCGGGATTACTCTATATCATAGACTTATAACTGAAGTCTTGTAAAACTAGAGTCATCATTATTTGATAGGAACGTAATTAGTTTAAAAAATCGCTAATTGCATAATAATAATAATAATAATAATAATAATAATAATAATAATAATAATAATAATAATAATAATAATAATAATAATAATAGCATCCTACATTTCTTTTTTAATTATTTAATACAATTTTTTTAAACTATTTAATACAAATGTTGGAGTTCGAATTTAATACAAATGTTAATCATTCAAATATGTAGCTTAAGTGCTTTACAAAAATTGCAAACTAATTATACCCTCTTCGGAACATCTGTTAAAAAATCTCAAACATTTTATAATATTATTAATTTGAAAATGGGAGTTTTACGTAGATGAAACCTAAGAGTTTACAAATCTTTTATTTTGTAAAATAATTGAAGTGTAAAAAAAAAATATATTTTTGCTTATTCTATTAAAAATAATTCTTAATCAAAATGTTTAATAATTGTAGTAAACCACCCTTTCATATTATGAACCATTGATATAGCAAAATTGTTAAATCTAATTTAATTATAACAACAATTATATTGTAATATTAATTTTGAAAAAAAAAATATTTTAGTCAGGACCAGGGAGGAATCTACATGTATTCAAGGGGGGGCCATTGTCCCCCCAAGATTTGTAATTTAGAATATATACTACTACAACACCCGTGTATTACACGGGTGTTTGCTAATTTTTTTTTCTTAAAATCTAAAATTAATGAGAAAAAGTAGTTTGAAAATTTAAACACCTTTTATAAGAATATATATATATATTATTATATTTTTATTATGACACTTTTTATTTGTGCAATTTACTTGTGTTATATTATACTAATTTTTTTTAACTTACAATATGTAACTACATTACATATAAATATATCAATTGAGAAATAATTTTATTTTTTTAATGAATTTTAATAAATATTATTATTTTTTATTATTATAAAGATAAATATAATTTATTTATTTCATAAATACAATATGGATGTCAAATCGAAGATCATTAAAAATGATTAATTTGATATATTATATATGCAAAACCGATAAGAAATACAAAAATTATCAACTTTTAAAATGCATTTATAATTCAATAGCTTATTGAAGGAAACAAATCAAAATTCAAGGATATATTAGTCACTTAGTGCCCACTATGTAAAATTACAAAGAATTAAAGGGTTATATTAGTAAAAGTGATATTAAAATACCTAAGTTAGCTAAATAATATTTATGGAATACCCGAACCTAGATTATTAATTATTAATATATCAATATTATTTATCCAAACCTAATTACGAAGCATGATTCTTCGCCAAATAGGATTCCGAAGCACCAGATGCAGCCATGTAGGCTCAGCGCATTCGGGAATTATATATAGGGAGGATATTATATATGATAAGTATAAGTATATCATTTTTCACATAAATTCATACAATTATATTAAAATAGTAAATGTATTACTCTTTCTACAAATAACTCAACTACAATTATACTCTTTTTGCACTTTTGTACAGCATTTTTTCTAATTTAAATAAATTGGATGTATAATAAATATGTGAAAAAATAAAAATTGGTTATTTTTGAAAAATAATACCATATAAAATATGCTTACCGGAAAGAAAAAAAATATCAAAACTATTAATGTTGAGTCAATCATTAATGAAATTCATGAATTGAGAGAGCGTTAATTGTAAATTTGTCAATGTCAAGGTTTGAAATTTTATAATTAATATTGCACCATTATTATATATAATTTTATAATACAACTTTCAATTTTTTATATACATTAAATTAAATTTATGATTATTAAAAAATATATAGTCCCCTAAAAAAAATTTCTAAATCCGTCCCTAGATGAAATTACCTAGGAGTTTCCAAGTCTTTTATTTTGTAAGCAATTCATATGTGTGAAAATATTGTATATTTTTACTTATTCTACTAAAAGATAACTCTTAATCAAAATGTTAAAAATATACTAGTAAACCACCCTATCATATTATAAACCATGGATATTGGGATTGATATTGCAAAATTCAGATAGTATAGTGGAGGAATAATTTTGTAAGAACACACACATATAAATAGGTAATATTATAATATGCATCATATTTGGTAATATAAGCTAATTGATAATTTTATTTGACTTACTAAATTAATATATATATTTTATTTTTATATGCTACATTCATAATTATTCTTTTTATGTCTACTCACTTCACAATTTCAACATTTTTATTTAAAAGGTTTTATATTCTACTATCTAGATAACATATTAGAAGTTTAGAGTACTGTGCTAGTTTAATTTTATATTTTTCATGCAATATTCGCACAGGCTAGTTATTGTCTTAATTTATTACAGCGGGCCAAACAGTGGCTCAAACATTATCCAAGCCTCTAACCTGAGAAGAAATTCCAAAATTTACTACATGATACTCAATTTAGTCTACATTACTAGTGTAATTATAATAAGTTTTTAATACAACTTTATTATATGAAATTATATTTTATTTATATTATTTTTAATGTATATTATTTTAATTTAAAAAATACATATATTAATTAAAAATATAGCACTGCTTAACACTTAATATCGAAGGATTATGTGGAATAATATAATAGTTGATAAAAAATTTGACATAATATCTCATATTTTACATACCACACTAACTTAAATATCATTAGCTCTATATTTACACATTATTATGACATTCATTATGTCAAAAAAATTGTGTCAAAACAAGTAATAGTTGATATATAGTTTGAGGAGATGTTAAGGTTCCATTACGGAACCATTCCGTCGAGTTCTGTATATGTTAGATCAATTATCCTTGACGTTACATGATGATCTAACGGTTACAAAACTGATAGAATGGTTCCGTAACCGGACCATAGTATTTCTCGTTTGTTTGACATAATATCCTATGTTTTACACGTCACAGCTTAAAATTCAACAGTTTTTATACTTAATTGCACATCATTTATGCCATTCATAAAAAAATAGTGTCAAAATAGCATTATTCTATCATCAAAAAATCTATGGAGTCATCGGATGGTTTTCTTATGGAGCCAACGATCACTTAATGTATTGACGTCTGTCCAAAGTGTATTTATTGTAAGACACGTGTCAATATACTATTTGTAAATAACTGTGAATGATTTCATAAGTCGAGTCATCCGATGACTCCATAGCAAAATTGTATTCTATCATACCGCATTAACATAAAATTTAATAGTGTAATATACACATGTAAGATCCTATTTACCACCTTAAATTTGATTCTCATTCCCAATTTCTGATTCATTTTATTTGTCAGAAATTTGGAAAATGTGTTGGAAAGTGTTTGCATAGTGTAACACCTGTGCTCATAACCAGCCAAATACAAACTCAACTACACCATACCTCACTCACTCACTCACTCACACACACACACACACACACACTCTCTCTCTCTCTCTCTCTCTCTCTCTCTCTCTCTCTCTCACACACACACACACACACACACACACACCGACTCTATTGTTCTCTCTACCCCAAACTCCGGCTGAATTTCCCCCACAATCACTCTCCCGCTCCCGCCCGGCGTCGCCTCTGAGCTGATCATCGATTAGCACCAAAAGCAGTCAGTTACGTACCATTTCCCGGTCAGAATGGCGGCAAATTCCGCCGCCGGCGCCTCGGCGGCGGAGTCCTCCGACGAGCTGGCCGCCAAGGCGATCCACAAGCGGTTCGAGGGCCTGGTCATGGCGCGGAGCAAGGCGGCTAGGGGCAAGGGCGCCTGGTACTGGGCCCACCTCGAGCCCATCCTCATCCACGATTCCGCCACCGGCCTTCCCCGGGCCGTCAAGCTCCGGTGCTCCCTCTGCGGTGCCACTTTCTCCGCCTCCAACCCTTCCCGGACCGCCTCCGAGCACCTCAAGCGCGGCACCTGCCCCAATTTCTCCGCCGCCCCCCTTCCCATTTCCTCCGCCGCACCGCAGGCGCCCGACGCCGCCTCCCCTCCCTCCTCCCAGCCGCCGCACAACCACTGCAAGCGCAGCAGCTCCGCCGTCCGACGCTGCGGCACCACCCCTAATCCTCCCTTCTCCGTTGATTTAGCCTACCCACCCACCATCTCTGTCACCAGCGCCAGCCCCCCCACCCACGGCGGCGGCGTCGGCGGCAGCGGCCCATACTCCCAGCGCCAGCAACAACAGGTCCTCTCCAACGGGAAGGATGACCTGAGTGCCCTGGCATTACTGGAAGACAGCGTCAAGAGGCTGAAAAGCCCGAAGCCATCTCTCGGGCCCACACTCAACAAGGACCAAATCGACCCAGCCCTCGACTCCCTCGCCGATTGGTTCTACGATTCCTTCGGGCCCATCTCTCTCTCGAGCCTCGACCATCCCAAGTTCAAATCTTTCCTCCAACAGGTCGGCCTTCCAGCAGTTTCAAGAAGAGACCTCCTCGGGTCGAGATTGGACGCTAAATACGAGGAAGCCAAAGCCAAATCCGAGGCCAAGATTCGAGACGCATTGTTCTTTCAGCTAGCCGCCAACTGGAAGACCGAAAACGAGGATAACCGTTTCGTGCATTTGTCCTTGAATCTTCCCAACGGAACCAACGTCTTTCGAAAGGCGATCTTCACGAGCTGTTATGTTCCGTCCTCATTCGCGGAAGAGATCTTACGGGATAAAATAATTGAACTTTGTGGCAATGCACTGTATCAATGTGTCGGGATTGTTTCGGACAAGTTTAAAGCCAAGGCCTTGAGGAATTTGGAGTCTCAGCATTATTGGATGGTCAATATCTGCTGTCAGCTTCAAGGGTTCACTAGTCTGATCAAGGATTTCTTCAAGGAGCTTCCTTTATTCAACAACGTGTCAAAAAATTGCTTCAAGATAGCGACTTTCATCAACGACAAGTCCCGTATAATTCGTCATAGTTTTCACAGGTACCAGCTGCAGGAATACGGGCACGCAGGCCTGCTGAAAGTTTCAGTGACCAACAGATCGGATTTTGGGCCCGTTTACGTGATGTTGGAGGATATACTCAGCTCTGCTCGGGCCCTTCAGCTTGTTCTCTTAGACGAGGCGTACAAGATAGCATCACTAGACGAGCCAGTTGCACGAGAAATCGAGGAGATGATGAGGAACTCGAATTTTTGGAACGAATTAGAAAGTGTTCACTCTCTAGTTAAGATAATCAAAGCAATGGCACAAGAGATCGAGACCGAGAAGCCGCAAGTCGGCCAGTGCCTCCCATTGTGGGAGGAGCTGAGAGCAAAAATCAAGGACTGGTGTAGCAAATTCCACGTGGCAGAGGGGCCCGTGGAGAAAATAATCGACCGGAGGTTCAAGAAAAACTACCACCCGTCGTGGGCCGCAGCATTTGTGCTCGACCCGGTTTATCTAATCAGGGACGCTAGCGGAAAATACTTGCCGCCGTTCAAATTCTTGACGACCGAGCAAGAGAAGGACGTGGACAGGCTCGTTACTCGGCTCGTCTCGATGGAGGATGCTCACATTGTGTTGATGGAGCTTATGAAGTGGAGGACCGAAGGGCTTGACCCGGTTTACGCGCAGGCCGTGCAGTTGAAGCAGCGGGACCCACAAACGGGGAAAATGAAGTTCGTTAATCCGCAAAGCAGCAGGCTCGTGTGGGAGACCCATTTGACCGAGTTTAAGTTGTTGGGGAAAGTGGCGGTTAGGCTGATTTTCCTCCGGGCGAGTTCGAGCGGTTTCGATTGCGCGAGGTCTTTGATGAAATGGGCTGGTGCTTCGCATCCGAGTGTGGGGATGGAGAAGGCGCAGAAGCTGATATTTGTTTCGGCCCATTCGAAGGGGGAAAAACGGGTGTATTTGAGAGATGAAGAAAAGGATGCAGAGGTTTTTGCACTGGAAAACAGTGAAGATGATGTGCTGAATGAGGTTTTTATTGATGTATCCTCTGTGTAAGGCTTCCTTTCTTTCTTTCTTTCTTTTTTTTTTTCTCGTTCATTGATCCCTTTTGTTTCGAAATGTAGGTTATAATTTTGTATGTGTTTGACCTTTTAAAAGGTTTCAGACTTTCAGGGGTAGCAGAATCTTTATATATATGATGAGTTTCATGGTTATATTGCAGTATGATGATTACTGAAGTGATGATTTTTTGCAGTCTTTTTTTCCTTTGATTGTTCTGCTAGTTTTTATCTATTTTTCGGTGCTTTGGCTAGCTTTCTCGGTTAAGCTCTCCTCTCTTGATCTGCACTATCCGAAGATAGGTCGAAAGTTACATATGCAAAAACAGAACTTCAATTCATTTTCTAGAATGAGTCTTTTACTAAAATCAGGCCTAATAAGCAAATGCTAATCAACTGTTGGCCTTACTGAAAGTCGATTTTCTTTCATGGAACGTCGAACTACCCATCGTCAAGATTCTTCAGTCCGGATGATATGACTTCATGGAAGCAGTTGATGGTTCTATGTATGACTCAAAAGGGACACCACCAAAAATGACCATGGTGGAGCCCCACCATTCAATTTGAACAAAATCGCTTGAGGAAAAAGTGAGAGTAGAAAAAAGAGAAGGGAAAATAAAAGGGATGCCTTCTCCTTTTAAAACACCTCATATAGTTTGCAATGATATACATGCACAGTCGTCGAATGATGCTACCCATCATTGTCGAGACAAAAAAGTCGATAGAGGGCCCGGAAGTTGAAGTAGGCTTTCGGCATTGAGAGATGCTCGATTGTGATCGATTGCACAGATGAACTAACCGTGACCGGGGTAATTAATGGTCTAGGTCTAGTTTTTATCTTCTTGTTACAGTAATTATCTTTGTGCTAGGTGTTTTTAAAGTTGGTAAAAGTGGTTTGAAAAGCCTTTTTCACATTGACCTCATGTGAATCTTAGCTTCTATATCCTCTGTTTTCTTCATGGATGAGTTCTAGAGTCTAATAATTGGATTGAAAGATTACGAGATATTGACATGTGACAAATAAACGCATCTTATTATGCGACGGGAGATTAGCATATCATGTACGGTGTATACGTGACTTAAAGATTACGAGGTATCTATTATTATTATTATTATTTTTGTTTTTGTTTTTTTTATTTTTATTTTTTATTTTATTTTTTTTTTTGAATTTCTCAATCCGTACCCGTTTGCCTCAATGATGGATCTCATCAGACTCATTATTCACTAATAGGTGAAGTTGAAAGCACAGCAAAAAATCAATCAGTGGTTACCTTTATATAGTGAGGTGAGAGAGTAAAAAAGTAGTATAAACAAAATCAAGTAGTAGTATAATTATTATTATTCCTTTGGCTTTATGCTATCTAATTACTCATTAGTTACATAAGTTGTCAAAAAACAGGAGAATTTTTTTTTTAAAAAAAAAAAAAAAAGAAAAGAAAAAGAAAAGGTGAAAATATTGACTACTCAAATAACATATTCAGTTATGAACGAGTGGAATGTACCGCTATTCATAAATAGTGATTCTATCGATATATAAGAAATGTGAACAATGAGATATGAAGACTTTGTGACACAATCCATTGTAATGTCGGTGGAGTTTGCCTATGAAAGGCAACCCAAATGAAGTGAAAGAATGCAGAGAGAGAAGAAATAAATTCAGTATAATTCATATCTGGTTTTTATATTGATTTATTTATATTTTCTGTTTTATAACATATGCATGTTTATATTATGTTTTTAAAAATGAGATTTTTTTTAATCAAATTATGTGTATTTACGAAAAAAGTATGATGGGCTTATGGTTAGACCAACCTAACAGAAAATCCACCGTAAAGGTAATATTCAGCAAACCTAACAGTTATACAATCATTTTTTTTTTCAACATATTTGCATATTTTTAAATTTAAATGTTATATCTTAATAAACAACATATACCCAAAAGATGATATTCATAATATAAAAATGTACATATGATCGAATGATTGGTTTAACAGTTAGTCCGACTCACACAAAAATTTGTGATACAACAAACATAAAAAAAA